ATTTTTTTCAGCAGCAGGTAATTCAGAGCTCAGCCAACTCACTCCTCTGTGTTCTCTGTGTCCTACCAAACTCCTTGAAAACACACAACACAAACCATTATTCACCTTCAAAAACATCCACAGCAGGCCCTCTGCAATCAGCAACAGGAGGAACAAGAAACACACTCTGACAGTCAGGATGGGGAAAGAAAATAAGTTGCAGGAACATACAAACACCCAAAAGTCAAATAGGAAGAACCAAACCCCATGGCCCTTTCTTCCAGCCCTGACTGGCCCATCAGCACCCTGAGCCTGGTGCTCACAGCCCTCCTGCACCACCAGGGGCTCAGCTGCTGCTCCCACCACTTCCAGGGAGTGCTGTATCCAAGATAAAACTTGAGGATTTACACACCCCTCTGTGACAATCCTTCTCCCAGGTGCCAAAGTTCAGTAGGTTTGGTGAACACAAAGCACATCCCTTGTGGGCAGGTAAAACCACCTCACTTCAAACAGAGCCTGAAGACTCTTCCTCCTGCCCAAAACGCAGCAAACCAGTGTCCACACAAACCCATAACCCCAGGCTATTTCCATGGCATGACCCCCTGCCCAAACATGACCCCACAGGAGGTGGCAGGACCCCCACATGCACTTTCACATGCAGAAGCAGCACCCAGGGAGAACCTCTGGCTGCAAGGGAAGGGGATACTTCCGGCAATCCTGCAGAGCCACCTGTACCACCAGGTCATGCCATCATCAGTGGAGGAAGCCTCTGGGTCAGGGGCTGCTGCTTGGAACTGCTCATCCTGAGAGCTCATCTCCCCTCTGCTCCCAGGGGATCAGGGGCAGCACCCTGCTCCCACCTGAGCCCCAACAGCGCAGGATGCCACCCCCCCCAGGTGACACCCCTCCTCCAGCCAGCCCAGGAGACAGCCCTAAACCCAGCCCTGGTGCTGCTGGGGCTCTGCCTGTGCCCCCATGCAGGGCCTGGCCCCCAGCAGCCCCCCCAGGGCTGACAATGGAGGGGCTCTGCCTGCAGCAGCGATGCCAGCGGCCAGGGGAGCTGCTCCACGTCTGCCTTCGTGCTGCATTGTGGGTCCCCCCCGCCAGCAGGCAGGGCTTTGGGCTTTGATGTCACTCATTAAAAAGGCTGGTGGGCAGAGCCTGTACATATTCATAAGCAGACACACAGCCACGAACCCCACGCCAGGGTCTGGGGGCACAGGAGCTCTGCATCCCCTGGATGCAGTTATCCAGACTGTCAGTGGCTGTTTTCCCTAGGAAGGGACACATGAATCTTTGTATTAACATGAATTGAAGAGTGTTACAAAATTCTGCCCTCGAGCTGAGAGAGGGACACGATCCTCTCATCTGAACGGAATTGTGTTTTCTCCATAGAAAATGGGAGTGGAAGTTGGATGCTGCAAGTCAGAGATGTCCCAGTTGGCAACCTGTTGGTATTGAAATGGTACAGGAAAACACTCTTAATCCTCTTAAATTTATAAAGACAACAGCTGCATTTTTTTGCAGATGAACACGGAGCACACAGGCAGCAACCAGAGCCCAACTCTGCACGGTTGATCTGGAACAATAAATAGCAGTGAGACTTGGGATCCAGAGCAGAGTGGGAAGACAGATCCCATCTGCTAAAAGGTTAGAAAAAAAGGATTAAGAAAAGGATGTCTCTTCATTACCATCTCCTGTCAGACAGGAAATGAAGGCCCAGTGCCTGCATCACCCATGCACTGCAGTGGGATAGCTGATGTATCCAGCTCCTCAAGGATCTTGCTTAAGGAATCTACTTTCTAGCTCTTCCAGGAATGGAACGTAAATCTGGAGGCTGGCAAGCAAAAAACTCCAGGTTTAACCAGCAAAAAACCCCAACTATTAATTAAGAAGACAGATGAAAATCACTTTGTGGTTGTAAAAGGATGTCAGAGAACTCAATTGAGAGAAAGCAGAAGCAGGGTTAAAACTGCCCAGGCAGAACCACTTATTGCATCCAGCATGAAGAGCAAGTGCAGATGTGTCCAGCCACAGGCTCCAGGTGCAGAAAAGACCCCTTAGGCAGTATATTGTGATTTTGAGGAGGATGACAGCTTTGGACCAAAGCACAGTCCAATGTTCAAGACATTAAAAAAGAAAAAAAAACACCCTAAAAAAATATTTAAATCAAACTCAAGTGAATATTTGCCATTGCTCTAAAATCTCTCTACAACTTGTATCACAGTCTCCACAATCTCTGACTGCACAGTTCCTGTGAAATGAAGACAGATTAACAGCACAGCTACTGTTGTTATCTGAGTAAGTCTTGGCACCAAACCTGTCATTAAGAGACAGAATTCTTTTATTTTCTCATAGAAAAGAAGTACTGGTATCACAGTCAGATATAGAGTAGTAGAACCACAGAAAGGGTGGCTGGGAAGGGACCTCAGGATGACATTTAGCCCTCCCACAGTTCTCGCCAGGGCTTGCCCAGGTCAGCAGAGCCTTGGTCTAGCCAACTCCTGAAAACATTGAAGCTTTGAGCGTTGCCCTACCCTCCTGGGTATAGACTCTGTCTCACCCTCACATATGTATCTAATCTCCCTGTGCTGGCACTTCATCCTCATACACAGCTTTGCCTTCTTCATACCATTCCAGAAATTCAATGGGCCTCAGTTTTGAGAGGTATTTACACTGCAAGAAAGTGAACTTTATGGCTAAACTACAGTTGTAGCTACTTCCACTGGGACACTGAGAAATTCTAAGGGTCACAGCATATCACACTGGCAGGACCCTGAGACTTCAGGGTCCAAGTCACCACTTGCAGACACATAAACTGCATTAAATCCAACCAATACAGACACAAAATCCATATGAGGAATGTTTGCTAAGTATCTGGAGGGTACATGTCTTTTGCATAATCTTTATCAATATTAACTGAGATCCCAAAGGAGTCAGTAGATATTATTGTTCTTACTCAATAAATGGGGAAGCAGTTGCAAAGAGATTTAAATGGCTCATGTGTCCTGGAGCAGTGAGCAAGGAGCAGTGACCAAGTGGACCAGAGCCTTTCTCAGTGCAGTGGCCCCTTGGATTTGGGCTCAATAGCATGATATTCAGCCCAAAAATTGCTTTGGTGATGCTTAACATTTTCATGAAATTCAATTTCAGCTTGGCTTCCCGTGGACTGCCAGAGGAATTGCTGTTTCCCATGGAACACCATCGTCTTCATGGTGCTTACATCACGGACCTGCATGGAGAAAGACCAAACAATTTCATCACAGCAGCCTACAAAGCACCTCAAAAACACTGAAGGCTTGGAAATTGGTCACTCAGGGAAAAACTGCCCTACAAAGCCCAGAAGAAATACAGTAGATATCAGTAGTGCTCATTCACATCTATGTTCCCGTAACAGAGATCAGAGCCTGACACTGATTTGTGATTAAATTTTGCATCTGGATGGAAATGTCTCATGAGGAGATGGACCTGTTCCCATGCAAATCATTCCATGTAGGTTCCTGACTCACCAGGATGTAATTAAAATGTGTTTGGTTGCTCCCAGTGCCCGGGTCAGCATACAGGGCACGGATAGCTATGCGGTGCTGGGGAGCCACATCGATGAAGGTTCGACACACAACTTCTTGTCTTGGGTCAGGCAACTGCACAGGATTCACTATTTCACCTTGGGGACCAAACAGCTGCTTGTCACAGTCTGACAGAGAGAATGGGAGCAGAGGAGAAAATGATTTAGAGAAGTATCCAGCATCTCCAAGAAAGAAATCATTTCAATTAAAGACAAGCAGAGCAGTTTCTCTAAGGATTTTTCATCTGGGAACATCAGCAAACACCTGTGGAGGGTTTGCCTTTAAAACAAAGGAACAGTCCACAACTAATACTAATTCCAACACTCCTCAAGAAAGGGTTTATTAGCTGCTAAAAATGAAGCAAGGCTCCCACAGATTTCCACAGACAACCATGACCCATGGAACTCTGTGGGCCTTGTCATGGGTGCCCCAACCCAAAGCAGCAGCAAAGCTTTCATTAAGGTACCTTGGTAATATTTTTTCGTTGCAGTTCTGCTGTTGTACTGAAGAATGACCCCATTTCCTGGCAGCACAACACGCTGTTTCACAATCAGTGTGTTCGTTCTGGAGTTTATCAGTGACAAGGGGAGATTCCTGCAGCCTGTTCTCCACATCATTCGCCCAGAAAACAGCACTATCTCACCTGGAACACATGAGCACAGGGACTAGAAACACTTCTACTTTAAGTGAAAGGCCATAATCTATCTTACACAGGTCTGGAATCAAGTCATTTCTACATCTTGTGCCTATCTTATCAAAATCAGTCATGAGAACAGTCCAGTTAACTAATCTGACTGTACTGATTCCAACAAGAGGGTATATTACAGAGAGAGCTTATAACAGGCCAAACCAAGCAGCTTCTTTAACCCCATAAACTTCTTTCATCTCATATCTATCAACAAAACAAGTAAGAAACCATTGTGTGTGGGAGAACAAGTGACACCTTCATTTTGTCCCATCTGGCAATGACTCGGTCGGACAGCAAACCTTGGTTAAACAGTTTCAGAGAGTAACAGGCTCCAAGGCAGAAAGAACCTCCCAGGGCACCAAAAAGAGGTGCAGCTTTCCCAAAGGGCCAGGCTAGTCCCAGTACCTGCACTGCAGTTGAGGGAGCTCTCCAGGATGCTGACTGTGATCTCCTCCCCGAGGGGTCGACCGATGGCCACGGTGCACTCACTGTCCCCCAAACCTGTCATGTTGATGATGCCAGTGGCATTGAGAAAGAGGTTTCCACAGACACCTGTACAGCAGAGACAGGTAAGAAACACATTCAGAAGGACCTACAGCTGCTGAGAGACAACCCCCATTCCCTTTCTGGCGCAATTAATAGACAAGTGGACACCTTTTGGGGCAAAGCATGGGAAGAGTCACAGAATATCCTGAGTTGGAAGGGACCCACAAGAATCATCAGGTCTAACTCCTGGCCCTGCATAGGACAACCCCAGGAATTACATCATGTGCTTGAGAGCATTGTCCAAACACTTCCTGAGCTCCTGAGCTGCTGTCCCAAGGGCTCCCAAGTCAGAAGAGCTTTGGGAAGCCCAGGGAAGCTCAGACAACATAGACAGCTCATGCCATGCTGTCCCTCCTAACAAGATGTATTCCCTCCTCTGCCCCTCTCTGGCAGTAGGATCACCACAACCAAGCTGAACACAGGAAGCACCTTTTGGCAGTGTCCTCCTCACCTCCACCAGTCTTTGTCTGCTCCTGAGGCACAGCAGATGGAGGCATATCCAAGCCCTTTGCCTCTTTGGAAGCTGCAGCTGTTGTCAGGTGTGTGGCTGGTGTCACAGGCTGCAGCTCTGCCCCAGGGGACCCAGTGCCCTCAGGACAGGGCCCTGAGGAGCAGCCACGTACCACGATGGCCTTGGGGAAGCGCCGGCAGAAGATTGGGTTCACCTGCTCACGGGTCAGTGAGTTGAGGCAGAAATCCTGCCGTGTCTGAATGCCATTCCCACAGGAGGTTGAACACTGCAGAGGAAGAAACCCACAGTCCTTTATCCAATGTGTTCCAGTTGGTATTTGGAAATGAATTCATTGATAGGTTCAGGCATGATCTGGGCAGGAGTGATCTCCTGTTCACTGATGCTGTTCTACCACTTGCCCTTTCAGAGCTCTTGTTTCATCAGCTCCAAGATGCCTCCACCTTCCAGGGGATCTTCCAAACTACATATTTAAATTGCAGAACCACTTCCTAAGAAATCCCAAAATATCTGCATTCCAGAAGAAAACATGCCAAACCCATTTTGAAACTGCAGCCAAAACCTTAGCTGTGAAAGGTGGGAAGCAAACCTACGGCTGCTAAACACAGGGCAGTGGAAAGGATGGAAAACATCCCTAGAAACAGTTTAACATTTCTGTGGGAAGCAAATAGACAAGGCAGAAGTTGTATTTCCCCCCTTGTATGTTTTAGGGAAGTGAATGGCTATAAAACTGCTGTGTTTGAACAGGAGGAAATACCTCTGACCACTTGCTGAAGCTCCATTCGTAAGAGCACATTCGGATGACACAGGGGACACTGGTGAGTGGCTTCTCTGCCACAGGGCACAAATGTTCCTCCAGCAAAACCTCCTTGCCTTGGTGGATCTGCACACAGCTGACCAGTTGCACAGCTAAGCCAAGCCCACAGCTGGAGGAACAGGGCCCAGCTGGGGTTACCTTCCATCTGACAGGGCATGGAGGAGAAAAAGTGAGTTAGTGATGAATCCTCACCATCTATACCTATTTCTTCTTCCTCTTACTTCTCAGCAGCTTTCTTCACCCTCAGCCTCACGTGTTTTGCTGCCTGTGGTACTTGGAATGCAGCCTTTGGAACAAGGCTGAGCAGTCTGAAGGAGGTTTGGAGTTGGACCCAGAGGACATTCCCATTTTGCAAGAAGCCCACAGACTCCAAATATACCCTGAGTCTTACAGTGCATCCACTACACTCCTCCCCAGGGTGGCAGACAAAGCTTAACTGCAGAAACAATCTTATCTCCCTCCAAAACACACACCACTGACCAGTGAGCTCAGAAACTGACCCAGAGGTCCTGGGAGTGGCATCCTGTAAAAAAGTTCAGATGACTCTTATTTTGCCATGTCCTTGGAGATAGAGGGAGGAAGGAAAGACCTCTCCCTGGCTCCTTGTCTCTTGATAATTGCTTTACCTTGGTGGGCAGGGATTGAGATTACAGACTTCCATCCTGCTCTCTGGCTTTGGTACTGGATGACAGTTTTCTTCTTGGGTTTGTTCTTTGGTGTCAAAAGCCACACACACATACTGCAACTCAGTCTTACCTAGAAAGGGAAATGACCTTACTGCATGCCAAGCAGTGTCAGTACAACTGTGTGTACAAAACAAGCAAACTCTGCCCACGCCACGGCACATTTCTTGGACTTATCCCCTCAACTCTGAAACACAGCAGCAGCCAGACCACTCTCTAAATTATTCTCTGTCTGAGCCAGGACCCTTTGCCCCTTCCAAAAAAGTTGGTGACCACAGCTACTCTTAGAACTGCAGAGGGGAACAGAGCAGGTCCCCAGGATTTCCAGGCACTGAACTCACACTTTCAGCCAAGTAGTATTACCCTGAAGCACTGAAAGATCTCACCTCTACCACAGGAGACAGAACACTCTCCAGCTACAGGGCTCCAGACATACACAGTTCGATTTTCCAGCTGGATATGCCCAAGTGACTCCAGAGGCTGAAGCAAATGTGCATCTTCCTCCTCAGAATAGAGCAAAGAGACCCAGACTGACATTGGCACCTGCTGTCCACACCAGTCCTAATCTAACGAAGCTGAGAGATACCTCCAGGTCAAGTCTACAACATATTTGCTGTCACTGAGGAAAGAGGCACATTTAAGTACTTTCTTTATTGTTACAAAGTATGTAAATATCAGGGATAGCTAAGGACATTCAACAGCCAAGATCCCTCCTAATTCCCACTACCTGAAAAGAGAGAGACACCTGAGACTGGGCATGTCTATAAAGCAGCATCTTCCCCATCTGTAAATGTAAACCTGGCAGTGGCTCCCCCATATGGATTTGCACCACTGATCCCATGCTGAGAATCCCTCTTCCCTGCTAGCAATCCTTCCCACCTCTCTGTTTGCCAGTGAGATATTTTCTAGTGGACCATGGGTTTTTTCTCCTTCTGTTTTTTTGAGGAGAAATGAAGAAGGAACATAGTCAATAGCTGCCCTAACAAACCACCATGAGCTGATGAATCCAGCAGCATAAATTAAGAGAGATGGAGGTGTTTAAAGTGACAGGATGAACCTTTAACTGGGCAGACATCCTTGGTGTAAACCACCCTCCCAGGCTCCAGCAGGAAGGTTGTTCTTATCTGGTAAGAACTGTGCAAAGATCCCAGTGAGACTCCTGAAATAAGCCAAGCCAGTAAACTTACTTTTTCCCAGCCTAAAGGGCAGACATTAACCACACATGGCACAACAGCAAGGGGTTTTTCTTCTGCTGGGCACAAGTTGTCATCCACAACAGTCTCCAGTCCATCCCGAAACTGAACACAGGTCAAATTCTGCTGGGCAACTCCAGTTCCACAAACAGCAGAGCATTCATCTACCTGAGACATCTTCCACCTAAAAGGGAAGTAATTCTATCACTTTATTCCCCATCTGAATCATGGAGGAATATTACTCAGGATACTGATTGCAGGAATGGGTAAAGCAAAGTGTTCAGCCTCTCTATTTTCAAAGCCTTGTCTGGATGCGATTGAGAGAACAATTTAAATCCTTGCACTGACAGCCTTCAAGGACTAAAAGCACCTAAGCTAAAGAGCTCTAGTTCACAGTGTAATCACTTTTACTAAACTCTTAAATGTCTCTGAAGTCAGTGTCTGGGCAGGATTGGCTCTTGGTCCTCTTTCCAGAATAATTAACACACAGCTTTACTCTCTTTGTTGGCACAATCTTGGAAAGGATGTGAGAGACATCTTCCTCTGGCCATGCCCTCAAGTGTTTTCATTTAGCAGACTACTGTAAAATATTGGAAGGACTATGTCCCATTCCTTCAGTTGACATCTCAATTACCTCGTGGGACCAGGAAAGACAGAACTCAGGACAGGAAGAAACTACTTCATACCTCCCATTTCCACACAAATGAGACTGCAGAGACTAGGTTAGCAGGGAAATGGGAAGCAAGAACTCAGCTGAGCTCCCAGGAACACCAACCTGTACAGGCACGGCTCCATGGCACAGGGCTTGTGCTCTGGAAGGGGCTGGGGGAGCTCCAGACACCACTGATCCTCTGTTATTTCATTCCAGGAAGAAACTACTTCATACCTCCCATTTCCACACAAATGAGACTGCAGAGACTAGGTTAGCAGGGAAATGGGAAGCAAGAACTCAGCTGAGCTCCCAGGAACACCAACCTGTACAGGCACGGCTCCATGGCACAGGGCTTGTGCTCTGGAAGGGGCTGGGGGAGCTCCAGACACCACTGATCCTCTGTTATTTCATTCTTGGTCTGGTCAAAGCATACATGAGCCACTGGTTGGATCCCTGGGATACAAAAGGACAAGGAATGGAAGTTCCAAAGTGAATAGTTCACCTCCACGATGGCAGGAAGATGCAGTAATTTTGCTTTACTCAATCAAAACACACAGAACTCTTCTTTCTGATATCAACTTCCCTCAAGAGTTTTAAAGTGATTTTCCAAGGTGAACACCCCAAAAGGTGAGAAGTTTGATGGATAATCCACTGCCAAAATGGAAAGATAGCTCTAAACTGGCTGTTTGCAAGAACAAGGGTATCAATCACAATTTGGTCCAAATTACTTCTAATGATCTTGCTGTCTGACTGATGAGGGACAGGCTGCTGCAAATAAGCTCTAGCACTCAGCTGCTTTGAAATGAAATTCTGTAGAGCTAACCACCTAATGTCATCCCACAGCCTTTGTGCTCTCGTGCCATCCCCCTCAAAGTGACCACCAACAGCCAAAACCAGACTACAGGTACTGGGAGAGAAACTAGACTTGCAGTGCCTGTAGCATGAAAGGAATGAAATGTTCACAAACTACAGCTATAAACCAGATTTTTAACAATAATGAACCTAACAGGTTAAGCAGATGAAAGTTCAAACTCAAAGAAGTCACTAGCAAAGCTGTACAGAGTCTCCT